CTCTCAGACTGAAGAAGTCTCTTGGAGGAGAGACGAAACGTTTCATTAAAAAAGAACCCGTCCAGARGACCTATACAATTTTTTTTCTTTTTTTAAATTATGAATAATGAAAAATATTTCATGAGTTTAGAATTATATATGCATTCAGTTATTTTACAATTACATTGTCACATTGTTCATGTAGATAGTTATTTCCATAATGTTTTATTTATTTAGTTAATTATGAATACTTTGGGGCTCCATAGTCTGACTCTAAAACTTGTTCTACAAACTCGCTACTTTTTAACCAGAAAACTGCTGTGTACCTCCTCACCACTTGGTGGCGGTAGTGCTTCCTTTTGTTTAATGCAAACGAATAAGAAACTGGAGGAGAAACAGCGCGGGTGATCCAAAACCAAACAACTAAACTTTCCTCACGGAAATATTCTGAAGTAATTCTGCCACAAATTCACAGTCCGCGGGAAACACCTTGAGAAACGTAAGCGATTTGTGTAATACGAGTTAATGTCGTTTGAATACATTTAAGTCAGGCTGTTTTAGCTTGTACTTGATTTTCGTAAAAGCTAACAAATGTCACGTTAAACCTTTCAGTTTGCTTTATTCTCCGCTTTAAGGATGTTGAGAACTTCCCGTTTGAAGCGTGAGCTTCAGATGTTGAGCACCGAGCCTCCTCCCGGGATAACTTGTTGGCAGACCGAGGAACAGATTGATGACCTCCGTGCACGTGAGAACACATCACACTCAATCTAAAACCACTGTCAAAAAAAATGTTGACAAAGCAGCAAAACGAGGACGCACACGTGTTCTACTTTCACTAATGACCAAGTGATGTGTTACTGGCGTGTTAGAAATATTTACAAAAGATATTTTGTTATGACTCATAGTGATGCTTTTTAGTGCCTCATTGAGATCCCTGTTGGAGTCCCAGTTAATTGAGTTATTTGGAAAAGCCACATGCCTCTTTCACAGATGATGTACAACCTTTGCTGTTAAACCTCACAAGCTCAGAAAAATGCATGTGAAGTAGGGTTGAGTGATATTGGCAATAAATAATAATAATAATAATAATAATAATAATAATAATAATAATAATAATAATAATAATAATGAAATGTGGCATTTGGCTGAAAATTGATGATTAATAGAAGACAGTTGCATGTTTTTTGTTTTTACTAAATCAGTTGGGCTACCCTGCATTGTAAAGTTATGCTTCAATATCAAACTAACATTTTCATTTTAACAGGTTGAAATAGTAAATTTTTGTGTATTGAAAGCCACCTTTTACACAATGTGGAGTGGCAGCACATCTTTTAACGCAGTATGCTAGGAGCTCATAAAAAGCAAATATTAACTGGTGACAGTTTTTCTGATGACTAATTGCACACAATACGACTTTGCCCGACATTAATKAAATAATGATGATGCAAGATGCAAAAGGCAAAAAATTGCAATCACATCTGAAGCTGCAAAAACTCTTTTAAAAGATGTTTTACGCACAAGGGTTTTAACTGAAGAAGGCTGCAGAGTGTTTTATGTTGACCTCTGTGTAGGGCTTGTTTTTGGGCACCACAGTTGTCTGGAATAAGACGAGCCTTTATGCACAATAGAGAAGGCTTCAGGAGTTCTGTGCTATAAGTTGGGGTCTGACCAACTTTGGAGGGGTAGCCCAKAAGTGTCTGATATTTTGGGACACAAAACACCTGATAAACTTGGGATCAGAAACAACATTTCAGCAAATCATATTTCTACATAAAATCAAATTAACCTTAAAGGAATTAGAAACCCAAACCTAAAAACTGAACATCCTGCAAGAAAAAAATATTTTATTTGATAAGTATTTTGGGCTATTAGCTTTTGTAATTTGATTGTTATTGAAGACAATGAGTTGAATCAGTATAAAGGTGAGTCTGAAACAATTACAGAAATAAAAATGAGTAATATACTTTGTCTGTGACTGTGATTATTAACAAAACATTATGACCAGTTTAGTATTTGTGTGAGTCTGTGTGCTGCCACTTTTACAACGATGATACAATACTCTCATTACTTTCTGTAATTTTTGTTGCAGTACGGTAGTTCTTTTTTTAACTTACGCAGTTTTTCTTACACAGYAGTTTCTCATTTAATCTAAGCGTTTTGAACTTTTTATAATTATTCCTATAAACATGCTACAGAATTGATTTTTTTGGTGCTGTCGTAGGTTAACATAGTTAATATTATTTTTATTCATAATTTAAGTTTCTCAATTTCTGTAAAAAAAATTTTATGTGTGTGTTTCATTCTGCTTAAACCAGTTCACTTTCCCTCACAGAGATTGTAGGCGGAGAAGGAACTCCTTATGAAGGTGGAGTCTTCTCCCTGGAGATCAAGATTCCGGAGAGGTTTCTTTTTTTGTGCTTTAATGTGGATAAAACTCTTTCAGCCGTTTGCCAAATACACTCACTTCTGTGTCTTTTTCGTACTGTTTGCAGATATCCCTTTCAGCCTCCAAAAATGCGATTCTTGACTCCCATCTACCACCCAAACATTGATAACTCTGGGCGTATTTGTCACGATGCTCTCAAACTCCCACCAAAGGTTATAATCAGAAGTATAAAAGAGACTTTKTAATGTGTTTTGCTCAAATGATCTGTGTGGTTTACACAATTATGTAGTTTTTATTTCTTTACTGTGTTTAATATGACAGTACCTACATGTGCTGAATATAGTGTTTTGTGTATTTTCTTTTTTTTTTTTTCAGGGTGCCTGGAAGCCATCTCTAAACATCTCCACAGTTCTCACTTCTATTCAGTTACTCATGGCTGAGCCCAATCCAGATGACCCACTTATGGCTGATATAGTAAGTCACATGAAACGTCATCACACATATAACCATCTGTTTAATCAATGTCACAAACATACATAATTACATGGAGCCATKAAGAAATTTTGGTATCAGCATTTATGTAACAATAGCTTTATGGAATTCATATTTTTGAGATGTTAAAATAATTTAGAACAATTGTTATGCCTTAAATTGAGATTATTTTGGAATGTTCTATTATTTTTTGAAAAATACTGGAATGACGTTTCTCATAAGTCTGTTATTTTAGATGTAGACAGAAATATTTAAGATTTAAAATATTTTTGAAACCTCCTTATTTTCAGTAGTATGGGACATTTTAAGAGTKAAAACATGGATTTCTGTGTAACTCATGTCTTTTTTATTTTTAACTAATTTTTTCCTTCTTTTTTGTTTGAAATGCAGTCATCGGAGTTCAAATATAACAAACACCTGTTTTTTGAGAAAGCCAAGAAATGGACACAGGAACATGCAGTTCAGAAGAACACTGTAAGTCACTTGTCTTTTTTAACACTGGGTCCTGGTAAAGGGAATGGATTGATTTTCACACATGGCACTGATGTAGGAAGATCATATTAGCCCTTCTTGTTAGTGTTTTGTAAAGGAGGCTAATGTGTGTGACTGGTTCACTGCCATTCTATTTGAACAGTTTTTATTTAATCAAGCACTCATTGCATAGATAGGATGTCACTTACTTCACGGTATTCTGTTCTGTTCTGTTAGTCATTTGTATTTACTTCTTTGAACCACAAGGTTGTGCTGTTGAGCTTTATATAGAAYCCACGTCTTGACTCGCCACTGATGTTTTTTTCTTAAAGAAAATTTACATTTTGTCATGTGTTCTAAAGTGTTCTTGAACAATAACACACAACTTTGCCAATCTGCATTGTATAGACACAACACTTTTTTTTGCTTCAGTTTGGTGTCTTCAACATGTGTCTCAAACAAGTTTAATGTGAAGTGGTTTGACTTAATCACATACTGTAGATAAGTTTGAAACTGGTCATGTAGGATGATTGCAGTGATTGAAATAGCCCAAATTCCAAAGAAAAACACAAGACCTTAAAACCAAATAAAAATATTGATCAAAACAAAAAAAGAAACAATAAGTGAAAGTAGCATTCCAGGAAGGACAGCATATTGCCCACTGCCTTGCATCCGAAAATTTGATCTAGTGAACTCAGACAGAGTACATGTTGGAGATGAGTGTGAGCTACACTAAACCAAGGCTCTTTTTTGTTTGTTTGTTTGTTTTAAAAAAAGGATTGAGTTAGACATTTCTAGGTTTACTAAAGTTGCTTAGCTGTGACTTCAAACATTAATTAGTTAAAGATGTACCTTGGATTATTACTTTATAAGCATTTCATTAATCCATTCAGTAGTTCATTAAGTATTTTGTTAACAGTCAAGCAAATGAACATACAAGGGAAATTAAATTATTGCCCACATTTTGTCACACTTGGCAATAATACACAGAGTGACTTCTACGCCACACCTGCACGTTTCATTTTTTACTTTAAATGCAAGGAGGAGCACAAATAAGCTGATAGCTCTATCCTAAATCCATTTGCAACGGGTTTCTGTTCAGGGAGCTGTGGAGGTCAACAAAGAAAATGTTCCGAATCAGAAAGTCTCATCCCGAAAGCGACAGGAGCTCACTGGCCAGCAGGAGACCGAAGACCCAGCGAAGAAACGTTGCGCATAGCTCAACTTTTCTTTACAGTAACCAGCATGCATTGCACATCTGTTAACATTTTTTAAAACTTGTGATGTACTCTAATACCATCCTTCATTTAAGATGTACATAAATTGATTGGAGGATATATTGTTTTAACAAATTTATTTGTGTTTTTTCTGTTGAGATATTAAAGTTCATGAATACATTATATAGAGTGTGGTCTTATTTATCATGGGGGTGTGTTTTTGTGTGTTCGCATAGTCGGAGTCATTAAAATAAAGTATGAAAATCATAATTTTATTCAAACAAATGCGTAACAGTTGTATATTAAGTATGTACAACCTAAATGGTACGTTTTCTTTTTTTTTACAAACTAAGATTTTTATATATATATAAAATTATATATTTGTTTATAAAAAGGAGACAAACATCATAAGGCTGTAGTGAGTCAATACCATAGTTCAGAGG